TATATATATATATATATATATATATAATATGCGCTATGTCGTATTGTCTGTAGAAAGGATGCATCGATGTTGGTTCGTTGATGCTACGTTTTTTTTTTATTTTTCATACACAGAATACCTTTTAATGTACACACACACACACACACACACACACACACACACACACACACACACATATATATATATATATACATATTTTTTTTCTTTAAAAAATTGTACATATACAGACACATGCGTATGTATATATTTTATATATATATATATAAAATATGTAACACGTATACATATGTGTATATATATCTGTAATATTGAAACATCTTGTCTACAGACAGTGCGACATCTTTCCTTGCCATATATGTGTATCATCCGTATGATTATAACTTGTCGCTTAGTATAAATGCGCCCCAACTACAAAATTTATAATACTCATTCTGATTACTTTTTAACCGAAATATCCGAGATTACTGTCTGATATGACTTACAAAATAATTGTTTGCACTGTAAGAATTGTCTTAATTTATTAATCTTTTGAAAATGTATTGTACAAGATATTGAACGAAATATTATTTCATTCTCTTCTACTTCCTTGTGCCTTTATTCAACAGAAAGTGCAAAGAGACATTTGTCGCAAACGGATTTTGCTGTGTACACAGCTTGTTTACCGCTTAATTTACCATATTTTTCAATGTTTTTCAGTTACTAGATATTCCATTAATCAATCGTAAAACTTTTTTAAAAATATTTTTTCAATCTCAGTAGTATGCAGATAATTGCAAAAGATTTGAGAGTAAATAGGTCTGAAAGTACATCCTAACTTTAGCGAAAATAACTGTTTTCTCAGAAAGGATTGCACGTAAATAAAATAAAAAATAGGAAAGTATTCCATTTTTTTTTTACATTGTGTAATGACGCTTATTTAGAACAAAAGGATGAAAAATTGTTAAAAAAAAAATGTATCATAGTCAATCCATTTGAATGGAAAGATTTAAAAATCTATCTGAATCTTAACTCGTGTGTTTGCACAGAAAAATGTACTTACAAATTAAACGTTATTTAAAGTACGAGGTACTGCAATACTGCAATTCCATGAGGAAATCGTATGTGACATAAAACAGGCAGTAATCTAATTATTCTATAGCAATTTTCTCTATTACATATGACACTTGAAATAGTAATAAGCATTAAAACTCGGAATCCCTATTATTTATTTGCGCTATTAGTTGTCAGTATTAATATTTATCGTATTTTAACGACGTTATCAATTATATTTAAAAAGACAAACGAAGTGATTTTAATCGTCGTAGGTAATTTTTAGGTACGAAATAGCTGTCGGAAGAAATTCCTCGTTAAATATGCAATATGGAAAACGAGTTTTGCAATTATAGCGTACCTCATAAAGTAATTATAGCTAGGATAAGATTAGGTATACATTGGTTTCCTTTGATCTCTCTTCTTCCATCACATAACGTGAGTTTGCGAGTATCTTACGTACAGAATATAATTGCATTTTATTATCGCACCATGCAGTATGATACGATATAACGTAGTATAATAGAATCACAATAATAATAGCTCATCCCGAAAAGAACAAAAAAAAAACGATCCAAAATAAACCACTTGAAGTAATTTGTAGGAATATTAACCACTAGATTTTAGCCAATTTTACTTCGATTACAATTCTTCATTACACGCTCAAGAATGTATATGATCAAGATCCTGAGCAAAAATCAAGAATTATAACAATCGAATGTAATGAATTTGTAGTCTTAGGTTTTAAGCTTGAATAGTGCCTATAAATATAAGTATTTTAGAAATTAAAACAATCTAGTTGAACTTGAGCAAAATAAAACTTTTATTTACCAGATTTGTAGCGTTTTTTTTGTTATTTCCTTCAATCCTCTTCCTTGAACTTATCGATTCTTTCAATTTTAAAGTCAACCAGTAAAGCTAATAATATAGCAATGTAGATTTTAATATTTATAATTGATTATATTAAATAAATTGCAGTTTTGTATATTAAGAGAAATTTTTTGTTTGCAAAAAGTATCTCCAAGATGATTTGAATACTTTAAACAAAGTCGCGCCTTCGAACCTTCGTTATATGATTATTCTTTTTAAGCATATTTTATTACTATTATTTTGATAAGCATTGGCAGGTTACGTTTGGTATGTTTATAAAAAATCTTCCACGTTAAAAAAAGGATACGTAAAAATATTAATTTATTTTTATTTTTAGTCTTTTTGTAAACTAACGTAAACTTTACATAATAAAATTGTCCTGTTTTATATCGTTACATAAGGAATCATTTTAAAGTTTCGAGTAAATGAAACACGTATCATATTCTTTAAACAAGTTTATAATGTTATAAGTTTATATACATATTGTGACGTTGAACATAATTTGATTTCTCTGAATCTATCATAAAGCACTGAAACATAAGAAATATTTCTTTCACTTGCAATGTATATGTTTATATATATAGTATATAAACATGCAGATTAGACATAATAAATAAATTTACATAAATACAAATATTTTTAAATGCAATAAAATAATACAATTGTAATATACATATATATACATATATATATATAGTTCATATATGCTGCGTATATATACACTTATACATATAACTAATTATTAATTATTAATTTGTTTTTTATGTTGCTGCATTGTTAATTTTGCTATTTCTTTACCTAATGTATCAATATTTTCCTGCAAAAATAAAAAAACATTTATATTAAACAATGATAAATTGTGTGTGCTTATTGTAACTATTGGTAATTCAGTTATTTATCTAAAATAGTAAATAGCACTGAGCAATTTCATAATAAAAGAATTATTTTTTTAAAGCAAAAATAATTTCCTTCTTTTGAAAAGATTAGATTGAAATATATTATAGTATAAGAAATTTTAAGACTAAGTTATCAAATCAAGAAATAAGAAATATCTTCAAAGAGGTTACAAATTTTCAACTTACTATGTAAAAATACGGAAAAACATCTCTTGTACAAAAGAGTAGATAGAATATACTCCAAAAAATGCTCGTTCTATGCATTTTTGAAATGCACAATGGCTCACTTGTTTAATATTATATATAATTTTTATTTGATATTTACCTTTAAAGTGATATTTTTTAGTAACGCGTCTTCAAGAAGCGCTTGTAACTTTTGGTTTATTTCTAAAGAAAGTTCTAGAGTCATATTCTCATCCGAAACTCGATGATTGTAAACAGACGCCATTATGCCTCCACGTCGTGCCAATTCTGCCTGTAAGTATATGTATCTCTTATTTTAAAAAATATATAAGTGGACATAAATATATACAATAGATAGATAAATTAATTAATAATTTTGTTTGATGCTTTTTAATATTAATTTAAAGAACCTGTTCCTGACACTTACTATATCTCTTCTGCTTTTGATATGCTTGGATACAAAAAACGAAAACATCTATTATTATAAAGATTTAGATTTAGTGAACAGAGAAATTTTAACAGATCAGTTTTACTATATCTATTCTGTACATAAAGAACATAAAATATAATTAACTAAAAAAATACTTTCATGAATACATACATACCTTGTATCTATCTCTGTCGTTACATGTCAACGCTCCAAAGTTTTGATGCAAAACATAATTTTGTATTATTTTCTCTTTCTTCTGTATGTCTTCGAGTAATGTCTGTGTATGTTCTTTGAAAAAATCTAACTTTTCAGCCCTTTTTACATTTATATCTTGCAGCTTGATGATGCGCTCCATTAGTACTTGTTTATTAAGCTCTATTGAGTTAATATGATCACTATTAGCGTTGTTGTCTGATAAGGCACCGTTCGATGTATCGCCTAAAGGAAAAAAAACATTTTTTTTTACATAATCCAGTGTGACAAATTTATAACGACCCATTAACACGAATGATAGATATTGAATCTACCTGCTAGGGAAGTGTTAGATCCAGTCCTGGAGGCGATATCCAATGAATTACTGGGTGATGTAGCTTCAAGCGTTTCTAACTTTCTATGGCATTGTTGCAATTCCCGTGTCATTTCCCTTACGGAAGTTTGATGCTTCCTCTTTAATAGCGCATTTTCACCCTGACTGTCCTCCAACTTCTGGGCAAAATTCTGCGCGAGTTGAGTTTGTTCGGCGACATGCTTGGCCAGAATCTCGCACTCCTCTCTCCGCTTTTTCCGCTCTTGCATCAAATCCTCTTCCAGGGTTTTCACCCTGCCGGTCAATTCGCTGATGCAGTCACGTAGCGGACCTTGTTCGGATTCAAGATGACTCGCCTTCGTTTGGATCGCGATAAACTCGGATTGAAGACGTACGTTCGTGTCCGTCAGTTTTTGCGTAAAATCCAACATATCCGCTTCCTTCTGGCGGCACGCCTGCATGTCGGATAGCAATTCCTCGTTAGACGATTGTAATTGCAGCAATTTTGATTCGATCGACGCTATACGCTCTTCTTTACTGTAAAAAGAAACAAATATTTTGTCATTAAAATAATCATTAAATAGCATTAGAATTTCATTTAATCATATATAATCTTCAAAGTTATAAAATATAATAGTTGAGCAAATTTAACATTTGTCCAAGAATTTGTTGATAAAAGACGGCTTGATGAGATTATTTTTAATACGCAATTATCATATTTTTTATGTGTATGACGAACAAAGTTATTTTTCATGTCTTTATAATATCTTCTAATATATTTATATTAATATATATAATACTCAAATTATATACTTACTGTTGCAATTGTAGTTTTAATGTTTCTAACTGGGAGACTTTGTCTAACAATTCGGTGATTTGTCGCTGACGTTGATCCGCGACGGTCCTTAAATCACTCAAATCATTTTCATTGTTTTTTCGAACTTTCTCAGACTCTTGTACTGTCAGGCTGAGCTTCTTGTTTTCTTCAATTAAATTTTGCTGCTTAGATTTCAGCGTTTCTAGCTCCTTTTGCAATTGGAGCCTTAGCGTTTCTTTATCTTCTGTAACGTGCCTCTCCAAAATCAAACGCGCCTGATGCTCTTTCAGCTGTTGGTCCAACGTTACAGCTTTATTCTCTTCGGATTGTTGAAATTTACGAAATGATTCCTGCGTCTCGCGGCGTATCTGCTCGCACTCTTCTTTCATATCGTTTATTTTCATCTGTAACATATACATCTAAATGAAATTGATGTTCCATTAGATTTTCTTTAACGGTGATCAGCAATTAAAAAAGTTAAGGCGATCACTAGTAAGATCGGCAATAATTATAACGATGCGTACTGATATCAGATAACTTTAAAAAAAAATTTATTACATGTTGAAAGTAATAAATAATAAATTTCAATAATAAAATATCTATATTTTATATTTCTGGTATTTGTGCCTGAAGCAAAAGTCCAGCAGTACTCACGTAATTTAAGACACAATTTTCGAACTATTTTTTCGCACGATTTAAACTACATAAGAAACAAAATTATATTGCGTTTTACTTTACCAATGCTTTATCCAATTTTTGTTGAGTATCTTTTTGTGACTCCATTTCGGTTTTAAGTTTAGTTTGCGTCCACTTCAGCTTGATCTCTTTCAATTTAACGTCCTCCTTTAAATTCTCTATCTCCTTTTGAAAATCAGTTACCTCGCGGCATTTTCCGTCCAAAATGTTACATATTCTTACGCGCTCACCCTGCGATTGGCGCAACTTGTTTTGCAGTAATTCCTGATCCTTTAGACGTTCTTTGACTTTACGTTCCATGGAATCCCTCGCCCTGTGTGTTGCATACATCGTAAATTAAATTTCACGAAGCAATTACAGGTAATAATTTAACACGTAAATGACTGATTTCTTATGGAGAACAGCTGGTCAGTCACTGACCGTTTTTAACACGCCCGACTTTCGGTTTTCGCGCTCTAAATCTTTACAGGCATGACCGACAAAATAATAACATACAAAAATACTTAAAATATCTTGAAGACTCTCGTTTTTTTAATTAGTTTGAAATATATATATATATAACGCTTTAAAACTTTTTTTGCCTCAATACTTTAAACTTTACAACTTTTATCAATCACGTCTGAAGAGTATCACAACTAAATGATAAATTATTCTTTCTACAAACCTTTGCGTATCTATCAGCTGTTTCTCGCTGGTTACATATCTCATAACCATGTCCTCCTTCTCCTTATTAACCGCGGCACACTCCTTCTTCAGGGCGTCCTGCGTGTCCAGCGATGTGTTCAAGTCGGCAGTCAATTTATTCACAGTTTTCTCCAAGTTCTCCACCTGCGAGACAAGCGCGTCCGCATTTGTTTCAGTCTCTTGACCCGAGCTCTTCGATCGATTCAACTTCTTTAAATACTCCATTCTCTCCAGTAGTTTCGAGTGCTTGAGTTTTAAACTCGCATAATCATCCAATAGAGCGACATACGACGGATGTTCCGACAGACCGTATTTCAAAATATTTGAATCTTCCAAGGTCCTAATATCAAATGAGTCTTCCTTGCACGCGTCATCGTATAACTCGTCCGTCTGCAAAAAATCTTTAGTCTCGTCCGTTTCCATCGGCGACACGTCGCGTTTTACTTGTTGATCGATTACATCATAATCTAATCTATCGAAGTCATTGTTTTTAAGTGCATGATACTTTTTCTCGTCCGGTATAACTTCATTCTCAAGACTGTTATTGCATAACTGCTGTCCTCCAGAGTCATCATACGTTTTGTTTTCTTTCGTACATACAGACGGATTCACCTCTTTCTCATTACTTGTTACGCTATCCAAGTTCTCCTCGCTGCTCCCCCTGTGATTTTGTCTTACCGTACAACTTGTATTATTCTGATTTGTCGGCGAATCCATATCTAATCGAGATGTTACGTCATCGAGAGAAGACACGTTACTGGTAAAAAATCCCGCGACATCGCTTTCGAAAGATTTCGACACGTGATTGTATTTCATCGCCAGATGCTGTGGCAGTAGAGCTTTCTCCATGATGTTCGTCGACTTCTCCGTGATAAAGTTTAAAAAATTACGGCTCTTGTTCAAAAGCTGAACGTTCGACTGCATTATATTCATTGGATTCGTCAGAAGGGACATTTTCACGAGTTTGCTGTCATCGGCCAGGGTCGGTCGAGACACTGAACCTCGCGCGTTAGTACTTAGTGCCGTAGTTGAATTCGATCCGTTCTTCCTTACGTCTACTTGATTTACGTCAACTTGATTTCGCTCGTTCGTAATCTTGTTATCATTTATCCGCAATCGTGAATCTATCCTTTCTTCGCAAAATTGTTTCATCTCAGATTTATCACTTTCTTCAATCCGCTCTTTCAGATAATCTCTCTCTTGTTCATTTCTCGTTGAATCACTCTGGCACGCCTCAGCAATCCTTTCGTTTATGGAACATTGCGAATTGGATAAAAGATTATTTATCTCGCTTGATCGATTAAACAGTGTCTCTTCTTCCTCGGGGCAAGTTGTCGATACGTTTCCCTGTGTATGTACATCCCTTTCAAATGTGTTCTCTTTATCTCTGGCTAAGTATGCATCCAAAGATGGTATCGCGGGCAATGAAGCACTGATACAGTGGGAGAGTGTATCGCGAGGAGATCCATCGTCATACGAAAGGCGACTCTCGCTACTGGACAACTGGCAAATTTGAAGTTTCGTATTCGGAACATCAACGATAGATTTATCCTCTTCAAAAGTGACGGATAAGTTGACGTTGTCCGTCGAACAATTTGATTTCACTTCTCCCTCATTCTTTCTTGATAACTGAGCTGAGTCGCTTTTATTTTCGAACATGCTGCTTTCGCGGTGATCGTCCCGAACTTGCAAAGTGTCATCCTGCATTGTCATTCCTGATACAAAAATAAATTGTTATTATTTTCTTTAGAAATTAATATGCCACTTAAGAGACACGAAATAACATAGTAGGTAAAACTTGCGAATATGTACTATATCCATAACCTAATTTACAAATTTGCCTTAATTTATATATAAAGAAACATTACATCGTAATAGACAGCAGCGAAAAACTCTAATTATTTTTAAATTATTACTTACGAATAGTTCATAAAAAACCAACAGTTATTGTCAATCTCAGTTTCAATATTATGTTCTCAAAAGAAAGTACCATATAATATCTCATTTGTATCATTTTGTCGGTATCTCTATACTAGCTATGCATATGTTTTATAATCAATTAGAATAATCTAAATATTCTAAATGCTTTAGGAACTTGAGCCAATATAGAAATAACAGTAATATCTTTTAACATCCTCTCTACACAAGACAATATACTTAACATACCGCAATAAGGATTTGTTTACCTCGCGCACAAGTACTTTCTCTCTCAAATTAAAAATAACACTTTTCCGAATTGAAAATAATATGAAAGATTAAAGCGAATCGTTGAAAGAACATTGCTGTATATATTTCATCTTAATAAATACATTATTTCACCGTTGACATTTATCTGGAGTATCTGGAGTAAACGGCTGGCTTTGAGCACAGCTGTGATGCAGCTCGACGCAACGTATATACGCCGAAACGGAACGCGTCGCGCGTTCCGTTTCCCGGGTTTGGTTTCGTACCTTCGGGCAGACGAACGTCGTGCCTCGTGGATGAATCAGTCCGGTCGTTTCCGACGGCAAAGCCCGTTTCGTCCCGAAAAGGCTCCGAAATCTCGCCCATGCCGATCGGACCGTGTGGAGCTTGCCTGCGTGGAGTCGACCTTATCTCACGACTTCGCCGTGTCCGCGAGCGCGGGCCCACCCAGCCCCGGCATTGCCGGACAGGCGGTGAGACACATTCGAGGTTTCTTTCTATAAAATTAGAAAAGAATGTGTAAGCCACGCGCGAGGAGTCCGTCAACCTCGGCCACGCAGCGCACCACCACCACCACCGTCAACGGCACGTCGCACTGTCAAAAGCTGTCAATCCCATGCGATCGCGCATGCGCCGTCGTGAGGCACGTCACCGAGGTACCATGTGACCGATAAACTCGCGTCTCGCTTTGTACCTTTTGCAATGTTTGTCTCTCCTCCTCCTCTCTCCGACGTGCGCGATCAGCTGTCTGTTTTGTTTAAAGTGCCAGGATTGGCCTCCGCAACTGAACTGTCAGCACTTTTCATCTCCTCTCCTCTTCTCACCATAACGTTGCGTACACTTGCGCTTACGCAGTCGTCAGAGAGTGTCAGAGTGTCAGACCGGTCGAGACATCGGTCGCCGCAGATTGATACCGATTCTACGTCGTTGACGAAATCACGGCGAGGCATCGAGTAAACGGTCCGTCCGCAGGCTAGCATCATGAGTTTACGCTGGAAGATATTTCGAGGAGTAAGGCAAAGGTATTTACATTGGTCTCACATTTTTTTTAGAGATGTATCATATGTATATATGTAGCTATAAGAGTATATATATAGTGTTATTTTTTGTATAACATATTTTTGTGTGTATAGAGGCGATTTCTCAAAATTTCACGGAGATTACCAATTAATTTTAGATCGCAGATACCGTCGTTGCAGGTGATCGTGAGAAATTACAACACCTGCCGGCAGTCATGTCCCACGGAGAAGAGGTACGACGGTTCCTCCGGGGACACGCGCGATCCCGCTTGGTTGTACGCAACCTGCGTCGCCGTTGCCACCTCGGTCCTAGGTATATCTTACTACACTTTGAAATACAAAAGAAACGTTTGTTACGCTCTCAGCGCGACGCAAAATGTACAATGTGGTCAATTGCGAAAGGACATGAAGACCTACACCCTGGAGGAAGTGGGGAGGCACGATAGCAAAGAGAACGGTATTTGGATTACCTTCGGACGAGGGGTGTATGACATAACAGATTTTGTCGATAAGCATCCAGGTGGCCCCTCGAAGATCGTGATGGCCGCGGGTGGCTCGATCGAGCCGTTCTGGACCATATTCGCGAATCACAATACGCCGGAGATACACTCCCTGCTGGAGTCCATGAGGATCGGAAATATATCGGAGGAGGACGCGAAATCCAACGAGGGCGATCTGTACGATCCGTATGCGAACGAGCCCCCTAGGCACAAGGCTCTGGCAATCAACGGCAGTAAACCCTTCTGCGCGGAGCCGCCACCTTCGCTGCTAGTCGAGAGCTTTCTCACACCGGTAGACTTTTTCTACGTGCGAAATCACCTGCCCGTACCTCAGATAGACCTGAAGGATTACACCCTGGAATTGGCGGTAGAAGGGACAATCAAAAAGACGCTCGACTTCAAAGCGATAACAAAGTATGAGAAGACGACGATAACGGCGGCTGTAATGTGCGGTGGAAACAGGCGTTCGGAAATGTCAAAGGTAGATCGATACAAAAATTAGGAATTATTACTCAAATTAATAACGGGATATATGTTCAATTTACAGGTGAAGAAACTGAAAGGTATTAACTGGAACGTGGGCGCTGTTGGAAATGCAACGTGGACAGGTGTACGATTGTGCGACGTATTAAAAGATTTAGGAATCAATGAAAATGAATTCAATCACGTTCAGGTATTTTCTGCAGTAAAAGTAACTTGATTTTCAGAACATCATTATTATGTACATAATATTGTTATTAATATTATATACATTATATACAAAAAATATTTTTTTATTAGTTTGAGGGATACGATTTAGATCCAGCTGGTAGCCCGTATGGTGCGAGTATTCCTATCTCTAAAGCCATGGACCCAAGAGGGGACGTCATTTTAGCTTATGAAATGAACGGCGTGTCGTTGAGCAGAGATCACGGATTCCCGATTAGAGTAATCGTGCCTGGTGTCGTGGGTGCGAGAAACGTGAAATGGCTGAGTATGAAAAATTTTTTTAAGATCTCGATGAAAACGCGCGTAGTTACTGGATTCGTACTCATGTCGGGCTACTGAATCGACAGGTAAGATTAGCGTGTCAAAGGAGGAGAGTCAGTCGCAGTGGCAGCAGGGCGATTACAAAGGGTTTTCTCCGAGCGTTGATTGGGATAATGTGGACTTCAGTAAATCGCCCGCGATACAAGAAATGCCCGTAACATCGGCGATATGCGATCCGCAAAATTCAGACGTAGTCAAAATCAAGAATGGAAAAATTCAAGTGAAAGGTAAATACGATAATAAACGTAAGTTGAAATATCGGTTTCATTATTTTTATGATTGCGAGCAGTGTCCGATCCTAAATTTCTTCGATATTCATAAAATATAATATTTCATCAGGTTACGCATGGTCGGGCGGTGGTCGAAAAATAATTCGTATTGACGTCACGAATGACAAAGGTGAGAGAAAGACAAGAAAATGAGACTCAAATCAGCCCAATTATTTCTCTTCTTTAAACGATCTATCATAATCAATTCTTTTTGTTCTGTTTAATTACAAAGGTAAGACTTGGCATACAGCAGATTTGACGGAAGATCTTCAGGCAAAGCAGGGTCGCTACTGGAGCTGGACATTGTGGAACGTGGAGCTTCCCGTGGACAAGAATTCCAAAGAGGTTGAAATCTGGGCGAAAGCAGTTGACTCGTCGTATAACGTGCAACCAGAAAGTTTTAATAACATCTATAATCTCAGAGGATTGCTGTGCAACGCGTATCACAAAATTAAAGTTCAATTAAAGCAATGAACGAATTTACTTTGCGTTGATTATCGACACGTCATTCATTTTGAATTTTGTAAATCAAGAATTTTGTACTGTACAAAAAAAATTTGTTGCTATTCGCAAACATATTGCATCGCGTGTATTTAGAGAAAATTAATGCTTGTTACCTTCCAAATATTTTATTCTTTAAATGTTTTTTTTCTCTAAATAACGATAAGTATAATTCTAGATAGAAATCGTTATACATATATTATATACACGTATATTATAATGAATCGATGTTATAATTTGTTACAATTTGTTACTATAATTTTGTACGAAAAATCTATGCAATAATAATCGTGAAGTCGTGAAGCTTGTGAAAGAACTAAAACGTTCTTTTTACTCCTTTTTACTCTCCCGATTTTTTCACCGCAGCCGTTTCGAAGAAAACTCATGGGATGCTCTATCTTTGATACTGAAATACTCGCAGCCTCTTCAGCACAATTCGATTGGACGTGCATTGAAATTAACTTTTGTTGAGTAACTAATTAATCGTGCCTCTCCCGATTTTTTCACCGCAGCCGTTTCGAAGAAAACTCATGGGTTGCGCTAGCTTTGATACTTTGATACAATAGAACAAAACAATATACATGTAGCGTAAAAAAGTCGAAGACTGTGTTACTCACCGGAAATATCCGTAATCTGATAGAGGACATAATTTTCATATTTACAATTTTTCATGAATAAAGCTTCAACTGTTTCGAAACGTGGATATAGCACGGACACGCACCACAAATTGTATACCCGCGGTGAAGAAAAGTGAATGTTGCTCACGTAGGTTACCTCCACTTCCTCAGAGGGCGTTAGTGCACGAGGGCATTTTGCGGTACAGGCAAAAAATCGTCCTGTCCTCTGTTGATATGCATAGTGTGCTCGTTGATTTTATAACCTCGAAATATTAATTTTTTTGTTTAAACCGCACCAATATCGGATGTAAAGACTGGTTTTTTCGACTGAATTCTATTTATATATACTTGTAATATATATAAAATATATATTCTAGGAATTGGTGAGAATTAATATTGGATAAAACTCTTCGTTAATTTCTATAATTTCACACCATTGATCCCGACATAACAGATCACATGTAACAACAGTTACATGTTACATTAAAATTTTGAATTTATATTACGTGTACATAAGTAAGATTTCGGGTTTCGATAGATAAACGATAGTTTTATTAACTATGTGAAGAATTAGATAAATATTAAGGATGTCTAGTATTTCCTCTTGTCTTTTCTATAAAGGTTATTTTAGGAGAATCTAATTCTATCACGAGCGCATTATTATGAAATGACTGTACTTATATACTCCCCCGACATATTTCTAGAGTTTGAATATGAACAGAGGGAAATAGTTTATCGTACCAATGGCTATGAGAAAGAGGAGTGGCTCTGGAGCCAAACGTCAACACAAATGCAAGCTGGTGCCGATCTACGAGAGCTTCTTCAAAGGCGAAGACCTAACGCTAGCTCATCCAAATTTCTGGAATGAACTGTTCCTTATTAAACCTATGGTATGCATCTCCCTTTTCCTGCTCTTGCCATTGCCTGATCTGTCAGAGATATATTACAACATTTTTTCCTCGTGTCACAGGTACCTCACATCGAAAATGAAATTCTACATATGACAGCGGAGCAACTGAACGCCAGCAAGGAAAATTTAAACGCGCTGGTATGCCACTGCGTCGACACTTTAGTCGACGAGCATCCGTTTAGAATAGTATACGCGCTGCAAACCTTAGCAGCTGTCATCCAGTCCATGTACAAGAAAGCCAACCAGGGAGATTATGGATTTAATTTAATAGACATTCTAGTGGGCTTTGATTCCGCGGAACAGAGGATGACAACGTTAATGCAGCATTGTAATAACTTTTTAACAGGTAGGATATAGGTGACACTTTAATAATATATATTGATTTATTGTTTTTGAAACGGGTATAATTTATTTCTACTTATTTATTAAATATACTTTTCGAGCAACTCTATAAATATAATATTAGCAAGATGAATTAATAACAATAATGAGAAAGAAGAATTCGGATTTTTTTTTAGGTGAATATCCAGATAGTTTGAAAGCTTTGTGCCTGAAATTGTTGTTAATTATAGTTACCGGTATGGATAATATCAGCCAAAATACCTTGTTGGAATATGTGATGTTAAACAGCGTTTTCGAATCGCTAATTCAAGTATGTTAGAAGTTTACCAATCGTAATTTTTTTTTCTACATTTATGGAAAATTCTAAATAAAATTTTGAATGAAATTCGATCTTATATATAAATAATTGCTTATATCATTTTGTATCGTAGTTATTGAGAGATACAGCTGCTAGAAATCGCCATGGTCATGATGCAGTTTTACTGTTAACGCTTCTAGTCAACTACCGGAAATACGAAAGTGCAAATCCTTACATCGTCAAATTATCAATTCTGGACGATGAATTAGCCCTAAATGGATACGGACAAGCTATATCGAGTGCATTGACGGAATTTTGCCGGCAGTTTGCGCAACAAAGAGCAGGTATTGCAATAGTAGTAACTGTTTAAATATAACATAAATATATTCCGATTAATAATAACGCAATACATTTCCAGAAATACAAGCATCCTGGCTGTCTTCGTTAACTAGTATGGTCGGCAGCATGTTTGTCGGGGAGGAGGAAGCGAAAACGCAACAAGTTCGCGCGAATAACGCTTTACTGTTAGCCCTATACGAGGCTACACACTTAAATCGTAATTTTGTAACTACTCTGGCCTATACGCAAAGCGACACCAGCGCACCTCCATCGCCGAACAACACCCTGGGTCCAAACGCGGTAGCTCCTGGTGCCTCACCACCCGACGTGATGGCTCAGCCATTCAATCTGCTGGCAACCTTTCTGCAGTATTGGTGAGAAGAAAAAAAATATAAAAATTAATATATGTTAATAATTTTGCTGCTTAAGCGATTGTAAAATATCCGTATGCATTGCAGTTCGATAGTTATGCAAGTAATTCGTACGGAGGCTATAATGAATAACGTGAAGTTGTGCTTCCTGATACTAAGCTGCATCGCGGAGGACCAATATGCAAATAGTTTGATGCATGACGCGAATCTGGCATTCAGAGTTCAGTTACATAGAGTACCTATGCATCATCGAAAGTTGCAGGACAAAGTGGCACCTGCTCAACCGCTTGCAGCTACGTTACTCGGTAATCTTATGTTTCAGAAGTTACATGTTCTCTCGAAATACATATAGTAGAAGCCGAATAAATAGAGGCAGGGTTCCACTAGTTGAAACACATCAGTAACTTTTCAGTTTATAGAATATTATAAATCGTCTGATTTTGAGACAAATTGAATTGAAAAATATGTTTTTAATGCAAATTTCGTCATGTTATTTAATAAAAAAAAAATTCATTTTTCGTCATATCATTTAATAAGATTATCTGTATCGCTTCATTATAGATCTGCTCGTCGAGTTCGTGACATCACACATGATGAAGAAATTTCCACTTGAGTTGTATCATCAGTGTATCGGCGTTTTACAAAGACTACTGTGCTACCAGAAGAGGTGCCGTGTCAGGCTTGGTTATCAGTGGCGGGATCTTTGGACCGCGTTAATTAATTTACTTAAATTTTTAACAACGCACGAAAGTCACCTTATTAAGAAAATGAACATATTTCCTTTAGCTATTCAGGTAAATAAGACATTTGAGAGACTATGGCACATAATCGAACAAGATAATATTTTGACTGCTTTTCGACAGGTGGTGAACGTCTTAAATTTTTTTATTACATATGCTGATACATTCCTGTCGTCGCCCAACAGTTACGACGAATTATTTTACGAAATTATTCGTATGAGACTTATCTTCACCAACCTAAATGCCATGGGTAGGTAGCCGATAATAGTGCAAGAACTCCTTAGCGTTATAAACGAAAAATAATACTTCATAATGTATAAAAATGTTCTAGCACTCAGGTATTCGACTAGCGAGTCGTACGAGTACAAGGAACACGCGCTCAAATTAACGAATTCTCTCGTCAACGTGAGGGATATAGTAAATCATTTTCCACCAAAGATAGCTGCGTGGCTAGCGAAGGAGAGCTTGTCGACACCAACGGAACAACAAATTTTAACTATTATAATACAGAATTATGACAGTCTCGCTTTAAAACTGCAGGATAATCTGGATCAGTACGAAAGATATTCGGAAAAGCCTAATCATACTGCGTTTTTTGAGGAAATGGTAATCAAATAAAACACATTAATGTACTTTCGTGTCTCGTTACATTACGTATCGTTCTCATATTAGTCTTACTTTATTATTTTCAGGTTACTGGAGTGATAGTGGATACACGGGCTTCGATAGATCTTAATGCTTTAGATACGCAAACTATATTAGAAGAGCTTTCAAATATTTCATAATGTAAAAGTGTACGCAATATATTTTCAACATTGTGGTTACTCTGTTGTTATAACATATCCTTTTCTTACATATTCCCAGCCAGCTTTTCTTATAAATTAATCAAAGGTTAGATATATTATCATCGAAATATACTTTAAAATTCTTTATCACTTTTACTTTTTTAATTATTTCTTGAGCAACGTTGAGGTCAGTATTTATAGTCTATTCTTATTTGAAGGTGGTTTTAAGTAATATTTTAATACTAGAATCAATATAAATACCGGCTTTAAGTCTTGAGACGATCAATACTATATTGCACAATAATATTATACATATTAATGACCGTTTTTATTTTCCATATCTCTGGTATACTGTTACTGGTACAGTTCAGATTTTACATAAAGTAATGTTTCTGGACGCGCAGCCTTGTACAAAGATACAGACTACAGTATAAATAATAAATCAATATTATTCACAAAAATGTACAGTCGTTTGTTGTAAGAATATGTACTAAATATACAATATTCACTGACATTTCAATTTCTTATATGCTGTACACGTATCTCTTTTTCTAACTTTTAAAACTTATATTCTGGAAGTAATCACTTATCTGATCCAATGACAATTCACGATAAGTCGCATTGTTCACGTCGTGGAGCTCGAATAAAGGAACCGACTGGGTTGCCGTTTTGCCAATGACAATTATGTAAGGATAGCCGGATGCACGCGTGAACAACAGTCGTTTACCAATCGTGTAATGCGTGCGATCGTCCAATATTGCGTCGATATTGTATTTGCAGAGTACCTCGAACAGCTGCTCAACATAGACAGACGTATTTTCTTCTTTGCTTCCAGCCTGTGGGGATTCCAATCCAGTATATAACGAATATTGTTTAGCAGAGACATAAAGCCGTATTTGTATTCATCTTATTACCTTTGGCGGTATGATGCATACTGTGTACGGTGCTAACTTTAGAGGCCACCTTAGCTCGTCATTTGTCGATAAGATTTCGACGGCTGACGTAATGATACGACTTAATCCCAGACCGAAACAGCCCATCACCAAAGGTTTCGATTTATGTTGCTCCACATACATCACTTTTAATTGCTTCGAATACTTTGTGTCTAATAAAAATGTGTGTCCTACCTGCAATTATCGTTTATGCAATGTAACATATTTTTTCTTTTGTGACATTCGCATATCTTTGATTTAACATCAATTAGTTGTGTTAAATAAAATAAAATATAATCTCTATTAGAAATTCTTGTATTTACCTCAGCAGCGGTATGCTGATGCAGTTCGCTTTTACATTCCGGACAACTCGTCGTCTCGGAGACTCTTTGATTAATAGAGAAATGGCACGAGGGACACTCGAGTATCATGTCCTCGCCGATATCAGACACATAATGATATTCGTGCGACATCAGGCCTCCGATTGTTCCGACATCACCTATGCCTTTTAATAATCATCATATAAATCATCCCCTAAGGCACACTTCCAATATTATAATCTATGCATCTATAAATATGCATATTCTAGCATATAATTTAGAAATGTTAATTACTTTTCGTGTACTTTATACCAATTTGCCTAAAAATATTATTATAAGACTCGCAGACTAAATCATACGTATATCGTGCTTTCTCCAAGCTAGCATCAAATGTGTATAAGTCCTTCATGATAAATTCTCGGCTACGTAGGAGCCCAAGCCGCGGTTTCATCTCGTCTCGCCACTTGCTGGAAATCTGATACAATTTCAACGGTAATGATCTAGTGGAAAGGTGCCCTACTGACGATACCAAATCACAGATTGCCTCTTCGTATGTCTATAAAACCATAAAATTACTTGCTAGCACACTTACTAAAATTAGCACTTTATACTATTTTAATTCACATTTTCAGATTAAATAGAAAAAAAAGTACGTTACGTTGGTGCAAGGGATTTATCTTATTAATTACATGGTGTTTTCAAATATAATTTCTATTAATTAAAATAATGCCATTGGCTTTTCTGTTGTAAAAAGCAATTTTTCAATTTTTCTTTAAAACCTCCAATTTTATCTAAAATAGAACTTGACAGGAAAATATGTATTACAGTATATTTCTTACTGGGCCCAATATATATTCCTTTTCGTGTCTATCCGTAACTTTAAACAATTCAGAATTGCTGGAATCGTATCTCTTAGTCTTCTTCCACAGCGCGGCGGAAGTTAACGCTGGGAGCAGTATTTTCTCCGCGCCGATATTTGCCATTTCTTTGTCAACAAGCTCGATTAATTTGTTTAAAATTCGCATTCCTAACGGCAGTAGAGCATACATGCCGATGTTAACTGGTTTGATGATGCCATAATTGACCATTAACTGAAACAATTAAAAAGATTAAAGATGAGATCTTTAAATTGAAGAAAAAGCCAATGATTTAATTAAACCAGACATTTTTATAAAGCACAAAAATTAAAGAAACATTTGAAATTGAATACATAATTTGCTTGAAGAAACCTTAGTTTGTAAATTTATTTAAGAAATATCGTCTTAACATTACGACTTCTAACAATGATTATTATTATTATTATTATTATATCAAGTGGTTTTCATTAAACGGCATCATGAAAAAAAAACACATTTAAAGAGCTTCTATTCTCTACATAAAGATTTTTTATGTTAAAAAAAAGGTACACTTACCCTATGACTTTTAGATATAATTTCTTCTGCCTTTTCTCCGTTCTCGAGCGATCCGCTCGTTGCCATTGGTTGAAATACTCTCGACATCCTGGTCAGATTAATTATTCTCGTTTTACTTGCCATTTCCGAAAATGTTTACGCACAACAATACAAACAGTGCACCGAATGCACGTGGAGAAGCGGCCAATCACGCTCGCCGGTAATTTCTGACTGAACGCCCCGTTGCAGAGATTGAGATACTTGATCACAGGGCGGCGCTAAATACGCACTAATCACCTGTTTTATCGTAGCGCCATCCGTAAACATACGCCTTCTACATAAACCAAAAAGTAAAGAAAACATTGAATTTGCTTGTGTTAATTGCACTTGCATAATCAATCTGGCCAATGTCTTCGCCCATAAAAATAAATATTTTTTTTATCCGTGTAGCTACTAAAAAGAACAGACCCATCGGACGGGCGATTGGCCGATCGCACTTGTCACGTAACGCGTCTGTGAATACACCTTTAACGTCACCTCCTCGTCCCCCCTTCCCGCCTGCGCATTGACCGGCGTTATCGCATCGCGCGCCCCGCGGCGAATGCGGCGATTCTCCGCTGGCTTCGCTCCGTTCGTGCAGAGGCGATCCGGTCTCACCCGTCGCTCGTTTCGCTCCGCGGTTCGGTCCGGTCAATCAGTCATTCATTCAAGTCAAGTCGAGTCAGTCAGTCAGTCAGTCAGTCGCGACTCGCGCCGCCGGTGTATAGCCGCGTGTGTACAGTTCGCGTGTGCTCTTTTGAATTTCCGGACTCGCGCGGATGCGCTCGCATCCTTTCTCTACGCCTACGCCTGCTCTCCCGGCGCCTTCCAGTCGTCGTCGTCGTCGTTGTCGTCGTCGTCGTCGTCACCGTCGCCAGTTCCGTCGCAGCACGCTCACGTAGGAAGGCCCGCGCGTCGCGACAGGCACACGATGTCGCGCGACGAGCCGTTTCATAGCCTATTCACAGCCACGGACAGCATCGACGGCATCTGGCCGTTCCTGCAGAGCGTAAGTCTCGCCCGTCCTTTTCCTCCCTCGTTTTCCCATTCTCTGTTTTTCCCTTTCTCTCTCTCTCTTCCGTTCTCTTCCGTTCCGTCGCTCCGTCTCGCTTCGCCGCTCGTCGCCTTACTCATCTCACAGTGACAGTCTCTTCGTCAGTCGTCTAATTTGTTTTTTTTCCTCATTTTTTTCCCTACCACGTCCACATGGTCCGAACGGACTGGAACGTGTCTGGTTTACGTCAGCTGACCGCGAGAATCGAATCGGAATTTTTTTCCCCTTTCGATCGTGGCGGACAACTGGAGTCGCGAACTCCAGAAAGCGGCGGCGCAGTTCATGAGCCGAACGAGCCGCGCGGTTGATTACGTGCTCGAAGATATAACGTGACGGGCAAGTCAGCGCGTGACCTTTTTTTTCCGAGGATAATTTTCCCCACGCTCGTTCGTATCACGACGGAGATCACGCACGTGACTCGATGAAGATACGCCTTATCGAGAGACGCTGCACCAACTTTTCCGAAGCTTCTTACAGGCTCCTATCTCTGTCGTACTCGTTATACTTTTCTTTCGTAGGATTTAAATGAAACATTTGCCAGTCGAGGAATTTGGCGGAGGAGGAAACGGGGGAAGAGGAGAAGAAGAGGGAAAAATGTTAGAGCAGACGTCGCATCTCCGAGAGTTAAGAATAGACGTTTCCAGGAGGAAGGAGAAACGCGAAAAGCGCGATTGAAAACGGCCCTTCCGCTTAGCTTATGATGATCCTTTGATCGTTGGATCTTTTGACCCAAAAAGAGGTGTCGAGACTGTCGAGCGCACCGCAAAAAAAAAAACCATGTAAAATTATGCGGACAACGAGCGTAAAAATTATACTAATCGCGCTGGAAGTGTTTGCATGTTTGTACGATTAAAAATGGAAATTTATGCGCGCGGTCGCATGCATCCGTCGTCAAATCATAAAAATGTATTCCTTTCCGGCATCCTTATCATTTTTAATTCGCTACACGCGCGTTCTTATTATAGAAACTCGCATACGTGATTTCTATTAACAACAAGTTGCATAACAATCTTCGCGTCTCGTTCGCATAATTTTGCATATCTCTGCGCTTTTTGCTGTCGGTGGCAACCTGGCAACATCCTCGCGTTCCAGATTCCAGGCCGGCGGCGGCGCGCGCGCGCTCCGGCAACTTTCGTTTTCGACGCGGCCGGCGCGCCGGCGGGCGGCCTCCGCCTGACACACGTTACATACAGTCGCATCGAGCCCCCATAGAGATTCATCCGCGGCTCCCTTATCTTATCGCCGGCGTCGTCGCGTGCGCGCGACGAGACGCGAATCAGACGGAGGAAGGGCGAGAATGGAATTCAATACGGCTCTACACCGGGTTCGGCGATGCTTGACCTCCTTATCGTCGTCTCCTGGACGACAGACAGACTACGGCGACCGCGAAAAATCTCGCCCGATTACATCGGCGCTCTATTTTCGTCACGTACTCGCTTACGTTCTCAAGGCCGTCCCGTCGCCGAGAACGAGGTGTGCGTAATGTGGTCCTTCGCGAAAATACATGCGGCGTATACACACACACACACACACACACACACACAGTTTACCTACCTCGGTCTTTCCAGAATCTCTCTGGATATATTTTTAAACGGTTATCGCACGCGGCGAGCGTTCTTCCGAGCGGTTTCTTCATTTCTTTCCTCGCAAGGAGATTACCGTCCATTTGTGCAAACAAATAAATCGTTAAAATGAGAGAGAGGGAAAGGGAATAAGAAACATATGTGTTATGCTCGTTTTGCCTCTGCAAAAAGTGTGGTGAAAGGATACGTGTAGCGGATAAGATAGCGCAGTCGTGAAATTTTCTCATTTAAAGATTAAGTTCCCGATATCCATTTTCATTCGCCCCGGATTACAGCGCGAACGTATATATTTTGATATGGATGTATTGTTGCAGATCGATTGGAGGGATCCATGGCTAGCCGCGCTACTGACGTTTCACATTGCCGTCACTATGACCGCGTTAATGACGAGGAACCACGCGAATTTTCAGATAATCCTGTTTCTCGTGCTCCGTAAGCGCCTCTGTTGTAATTTACCGCAAATTTTACCGAGTCACCATGAACGTTAACCACGAGCTCTGTCTCTGTTTCAGTACTCCTGGTTTATTTCTCAGAAAGTATTAACGAAGTCGCGGCAACAAACTGGATGTAGGTATTAGATTACGGCCAATGTGTCAATGCGATTCTCTATCATCCGCTTTGCTTATTTAATAATCTTCTGAACGTTCACAGGGCATTCTCTAGACAGCAGTACTTCGATTCGCAAGGCCTGTTCATATCCGTCGTTTTCTCCGTGCCCATTTTAATAAACTGCATGATCATGGTGGTAAGTACAGCCCAGACTTCGAGACCCGTACGGGGTATACTTTCGAACGAATCATAATTCTGAGAGGGTTCGACCACGCGCGCGCATGACCGTCATGATCTTTCCAGGCCAGTTGGCTTTATCAATCCAGTCAATTAATGACGAGCCTGAAGCGGGCCCAGCTGCGGCAGCAGGCCAAAAATCGCCAGTCGGACGGCGAGGCGACGAACGAGAGAACGGCCGTCCGACCGAAGCACGAGTGAGAGGAGATCCGGAGATCTAGTCATAACACGCGGCGGAACGAGAGAGAGAGTGTGTGTGTGTGTGTGTGTGCGTGTGTGTGTGCGCGTGCAAGCGAATACGTGCTGCTCGAATTTACGCGGACACAGGAGAGAAAATCGCTAGGATTATGTATACATTTACGTTGACTTAACAGCTAGATAGATTTCACAGGGTGCTGTGTACCACTTGGCCCCAGCGTCGACTCGATAATCGCTCCGAAAACTCGATTACGCGAAAACGCCGATTAGCCAGTTTGATATTTCACGCGGTGACCTGCGCGGAGACGGAACGGGAAGAGGGAGAGAGAGAGAGAGAGAGAGAGAGAGAGAGAGAGAGAGCGCGAAAAAAAATAAGTACAACAATAACGTCGGTGCAATCGCGGAACGCACCGCGTCGGAATTGCCTAGTCAAACTCTCCGTTGGAACGTACTCCTCTCCCGGCACATCTCGTTGCCGTATTACACACAACGATTTTATAGAATTAAACCACTTGATGCGCGAAATACGCAGCTGGATTGATGGAGAGATAATCGGCTACGTGCTACGAACAATAACTACGGAGGAGGAGCACGCACGGTAATGCCACGCGCTTGTCCTTGTCTTTATATACCATTAAAGGCCGACTTCGACCAAATTGTAGCCGTAGCTGTAATTTCAGCAACTGTGGCTACATTGGTAACCGTAATCGGCGACGAATTTGCTCCCATTGAAAACATCCAACTGCACACAATTCATCATTTCCGACCTCTAATCATTCTTTCCACGTGTAGCAAAAAAAAAATGATTAAAAAAAAAGTTGTTGATTTAATGACTCTACTCACGGATATAGGTATTGTTCGAGTATTGTCTGATACGTTAATCGCCGAGCGCAATTAGTCGGAGTTTGGTCGAGGTCGACTTCCCCCCCC